GCTTAAAGATCTGATCTCCCCTATGTCACTAGGAGGATATTGAAGTGACATAGGGGAGATCAGATCTTTAAGCCATGTTCTCTTCTGGGATTATTCCTTGTTCCATCAATTTTCTTCTTCATCTTCTAATTCAGTTTTGCTTCTGTGTACCTTTATGAGTATTTATTTGTGCCACAAAACTCTTTCTAGATCTAACTCAACAAGTTTGGTGCACATATCCATTTCAGAGGATGCTGAGGATCTTTCTCTTGTTTGGTTCTCTTGGCATCTGTTGCTACTTTTTTCCTAATACTGGGTGAAGCAATGCAAATAAAAAGATACATTTTCTCAATTGTTGTGGGCCTAATGCATACTGCTACATTGACAGCAATGTCAACTTGTTTCACACTGTGGATGCACTTCATACTGCAGCAGCAAACTCTGGTGCAGAAATACTCAGAACCAAAATCAATGTTCACAGTGTGGGCGGTTGCCCCTCCCCTGTATAAATGCCAATTTCCTGATAATATTATTCCTTGTACTTTTAGCCTTAGTATTCAGTCAGTGTTTAAATGAAACTGTCCTATCAAGTGTCACACTGAGATATTCCGGTGTAGAACAGTACTGTATTCAATTCCCTTGCCATGTTACATTCAACTTGACTCCTGCATCTCAATTTTGAAGGTGAAAAGCACACATAGATCAAACTAAGAAACCTGTGTGATAACAAGCAGTCTATAGTGCGTAGTAACACAGTATGTCTGAGGTATGCTAATGTGCAAGGATAAAAATGAGGGTCTTTATAGGGACAACTGGGAATAATTTTAAATATATTAAATAATTCTATAGGTAGTCCTTGATTTATACCAGTAAGTTTCTATTTCAAATTCCAATAGACCCCAAAAATGGAACTTTTGACCCAGTTTCAAAGTTCTGACATCTGCATCCTATCCATGGTCATATGACCACATTTTGTATGGTTAGCAACTGGTTTGCATTGATGTCTGTTTGCAGTCCCTTTGGCCATGTGACTTCAATTCATGGCATTTTTTCAAGAAACCAATGTTTACCTCTGGTCTCTAGCAGAAACGGCCCCATGGAAAACAATAGGTTCATTTAACAACTGCTGCAGGAGTAATAAAATTACAGTAGGTCCTGTCAAGTGATGAACCACTTTGTGACCATCAAAAATTGCAATTGAAATTGTGGATTCAAGGACAACCTGTGCTTAGGCAGTTGAATCCAAATTAAAGTAATGCTGACAAATGAATTAGCTTTTTCTTGAATACTTCTAATGAAGGCAACATCATTCTGTCTCTGGTAATTAGTTCTACTACTGAACTGCTCTTTTTATTAGAATTCTATTTTTCTACCAGTTATTTAAGATCTGCTTTGCTCAAACCCATTATTCCATATTCTACATTCAGCAATATAGAAT